GACGAGAGGTAATGGTTTTAAACTAAAACAGGGTAGGTTTAGGCTGGATAGAAGGAGGAAATTCTTTACAATGAGGATGGTGAAACACTGGAACGGGTTGCCCAGAGAGGTAGTGGAGGGCCCAACCCAAGGAAAATTCAAGGCCAGGTTGGACAGGGCTCTGAGCAACCTGATCTAGTTAGCGGTGTCCCTGCTCGCTGTGGGGGGGTTGGACTAGATGACCTCTAGGGGTCCCTTCTGACCCAGAACTTTCTATGATTCTATGATTCTATGTGTAATAAACACGGTCTACTCCAGCTTGCAGTTTGCAGATGAAGGCCAGCAGCCAGCGTACCTGCAGACTCTACAAGGGGAGACACCATCATCACCATTCATTGCTGGGCCCTGGCTTTTGGGTCCGGTGTATATTTTGGAGCCGGTGTGCATCTGGAGCAGTGTCCAGTGCTCGGTGTGTGCAAACGGAGCCCCTCTCCTGCCTGGTTTCCAGAGCTCAGCCTGTGCAGACACCCACCTCCGTGGCAGATGGGTCCGTGGTTTCCATCACCCGTCATGCCATGCATAGGATCCCGAGAGGAGGAGGAGGAGGAGGGTGGACTCTGTGTGTTAGCACTGTCCCATGTGCCGTGCCCTAGACGCGGCTCTGACAGCACCGCGTGTAGGCAGATACACGTTACGGCAGGGCTAATGGGATTCCTCTGACAAAATTGGATCCAAGAAGAATTTTCTTTGCCCAGCAGCTCAGGTTTTTCAACGCTCGGTGTGGCCCCTTGTGGTAAAGTTCTCCTGAATCCCATTTCCAGGTGGTTTTGCTTCCAGGTAGCTAGAGAAAGGAGAAAGAGGCTCTCTTCCTGCCAAATGATAATGCAAAAAATTAACGCTGATGTATGCAGGCAGCGAGGAGACTCGAGTAAAAGCTCATAGGCCAGTACTTCTCTCTTGATCGCCTTGGTCCATGAAGACAGTCCGTGTACAGCTGTTACCGGAAGCTGGTCCTCGTAACCGAGGGGGATGAGAAGTGCTGTGCTGGCAGACAGAAATTTTACATCTCGTCTTTGATGCCATTTCGAACTGGTGCATTTGGTTCCCTGCTTTCCAAATACAATTATTTTAAAGAGTAGTTTATGGAATAGAAAAAAGATAAATACTTCATTTTTCCCCCTAAATGATTTTAATGATGAATTACCTGGCTCCAAAAAGCAGTCGGAAAGGCACTGTGGGCTCCTTTGAAGAGGAGTGTTATCCTGATAGAAATCAGGAATATTATTTTATAAATATTTGAATAGCTGTAAACTACCAATATTGAGTAAAATGTGTTCACGATCTGGAGAGACCCTGGATGTTTCTATCCACTTCAATATATTTTAGTAGCAAATCCACACAGACAAATTCATCTTAGAAATGGTACTGGTTTGGGGGAATGTGCCTCCTTCAAGCGCCGGCGGCTCCAAGATACAGCTGCAGGTTGGATGCTTCAGCCTTTTCCAAATAAAACAAAAACCAGCCTTGAAACTAAAAACCCTGTTTTACTTACACTGAGTTTTACTGTTTTATGAGTTTTTCCCCCAATTTGGTTGTATATTTGTTTAATTGTTGTTAAAGACCAAAATGGGACTGTAAGTTAATGAAGATTAGCCATTAGATTCGGTAGTAGAATTGCTGCTACAATCTTTAATTGATTTCTTCCTGACCAATTTAATCAATTAAAAAAATGCATATAATAATGTATAGTCTCTTTATAAAATATGTGAGCACTTCTGGAAGCACCTCTCAAAGATCGGCCCGTCTCTGGTGAGCCGTGAGGGGTGAGAGAGCTGAGACAAGGGCTGTCAGCAGCGAACCTGAGCCCGTCTGCGCAATCTGATGGAGAGAAGCAGAACACCTCGCGTGAAGCTCGTGTGTCTCTGGAAGCGGGTTGGTAAGAGGGGAAATACCGAGGGGAACGCTGACAGAGATGTAATGACGGTGGCGGGAGGGGCGGGTGCAGCGTTGGTAGCATCTGGCAGCAGAGTCACTGCCATCTGTCAGTGCCCCGAAATTCTGATCCGGTGCATTCTTTATGGAGGAATGAACAATAATTAACGACTCTATCAAATGAAATCACCCCGACTGGATGACAGCTTTACCTTGATAATGATTAATTGCAAAATAAAGGGGAGTAAAATGTCCACTGTTGGCCTTTTTACTGCAGAGGAGCTAACGCCGCTATCCGAGTGCAGCATCCTGCAGGGTTTGCTGCGAAGCCTGCGGCGCAAGACATCGTTTAGTGCATCTCCTTTAAATAACGCTTACGAGCAGAGCTAGATTAAAACCAAACTTTTGCACCTTCATTTCTGTTTGCAACAGACTGGGACCCTGGTATGAGTTGCGGTTCTGCTGATGCACGGCAACTCGTTCAGTGTTAGCTAGAGGAGAAAATGAGGTTAGACCGAGAGAAGGGACCCGGCAGCCGGAGCCACACCAGCCTGGAAGAGCAGTCGTGCGACCTGAAAGCCTCTCGGGTCGCTTTGTAAGCCTGATATTAGAATCCAAACCGTTACGTTCTGATGAATCAGTTTGTCTTCAAAGTGATGGGGGAAAAAATATTCCATTTGTTTGTATCTGGAAGAATTATTTTTTAATATCTATTTTTGTCAAGGCCAATATTTCAGTCAGTGTAATGAAATATCTGCTGCAAATAGTAGCTATAAACAAAGCAACGAGCCAATTCGAGGCCTGCTTGGGTTTTCTTTTTCTC